CCTAGTACTTCGCGACGGCGGGTATGTCTCGCCTGGAGCACCTACCTACGACAACACGAGAATCGTTTTGCCCGTTGCCGAACAATGCCAGGGCTGGACCAGCTTGCCGGGAAATGTATCGCGTGGTGTAACTAGTGGACTCACTTAGGTACTGTATGTGTGTTTAGACCGTGTTCGTCGCCGTCGTCGAGACGCGAAACAGACTTGGTACACTACTACGCCTAGTCTCTTACACAGTCGAAGGGATGCTACACTACGACGTGACGGAATGGATCGTCTCGTTCGGGTCGTGTTGGGAAAAGGGATTTGAATTATGAAGTGCCTACCTAGGTAGTATACACAGGAGGAGGCATACAGGTAATGTGATAGTGTAAACGGTGTCCTCGAGGATACCATTGTAGTAAAGGAAGGATTTGTGGTTGAGATCCCACCACCGGACGGACAGGTAGTAGGGTGGACAAGATAGAAAATGTTTCTCGTATCAACCGAATCCCTACCTAAGCATCCAGTGTGCCCTGTTTGACCGGCCACAATGGTGTTGCTACAGAGGCAGCTATTCCAGGTAGTATAGGTACTACCGTTATGTAGATGTTCGGTACACAAGGCACGGTAGTATTGTATTCAGCCAGAGCTGTTGAGTAATCCCTATTGCCTACCTACCTACATACATACAGCAACTTTCTTAAAACCATTCGGTGTGTTCTGGTGTGTGCTACAGTTGCCGGCAAATATTAGGCCAGACATTCCATACCTTTGCCGATCTTCTCCCTGTTCTGCCTGCCACGGGCATGGTCGATCTACCTTCCTCATGGAGCCAGGATGAATTGCAATGGTACCTTACAGAAATAGCTATGATCGGCCACGCTATAATTCGAGGGAGCAAGCCTCTCGCAAGCTTAAAAAAACTTGGTCATAAGTACATAGTAGTCTGGTCATAGCAAGTCAGAGAGCGCTTTAGAACGAAACAGACAGCTGCCACCTGGAGGCTACCCGAAACACGGCATCAAACGTTGCAGGTGAGTCGCCGGGCCCAGCTAACAACAGACCTGTTCCCGTTGCAGGTAACGAACTAGGTATTACTTGCTTAAGTAGTGCGACCTGCCTACTCTCTGTAACACTCAGCAGTAGGTACGCCGACAAACATGGTGTTCCATAGCGGCGCGACGACAATGCGCCAGAACAGAATGATCTAGGTAGGTTGGGACCGTTATGTGAAAGAGGGGGGAGGCATTCATCCATACCTAGGAACGGTATGTAATAGGTAAGTATTGTATGATAGTGCAGCGGGGAACTTATTTCTCCCCCGCGTGCTGTCTAGATTTGGCAAGTTGCTTTCATCTGGGCTTTCATTAACAATAGATTGGGCGTCGTCGAATTGGTTACTGGTAGCGCGCGCGCGCGCGCAGTAACTGCCGAGGCCAGATATTTGTCCAGATATTTGTCCAGAGAGGGAAATCATCTGGGCAATCAAAGCAGTGGTGATGGTACACGTGGCTGTGGCCTGGTACTCTACCGATTTAGGCTGGTCTGGACTGACAATTGACGATTGCGGTACCAAGGAGTAGACAGCGAATATTGTTGTAATTGTCGGTGGGTATACTCCGTATATTTAGTATATATTTGTCTAAGCCTGGAGGGGGGTGCAGGTGAGCCGACGACATGTTGTGTGAAGGATGTCGTGATGATATCTACCGTAGTGTAATCATTTCCCACAAAAGCAGTCGAACATGCACACTACGGTACTTACTACCTACTTACCTACCTATCAAGTATATGGGCACGCTTCCTACAAGGTATAGTACAGTAGTGTAGACTTGACAATGCGATGCCATGTCGTATGGGGGAAAAGAGCCGACAACATACCGTAAGTAGGTATGAAGACGAGGTGTGAAGGCAGAACTCGAGGAGGCGGTGCCGTGGTCATGGTCGTCTTCTCTCAGTCAGTCCTTGGTGGGAACAGATGGGGACAGACGGGCAGGCGAGCGAGCGAGATGCGAGAAGAGGGAAATTAAACTGAAGGTGGGTGGAGATGACAGCTCGGCCGCGGCCAATAGATGACGGGCGTGCTGACGGGGAGCAGGCTGGGGGGAGGAAGAGACGGCGCATGGGCCGAAACGAAACTACTACCCAGCTCGTGCTATCATGTACTGACCATATACCAAGTACTAATTATGTACGGCCTGAGACCTGCCGCGAGACTTTGGGTGACGCCCCGAGCCCGCTAGCATTGCGACGTACCCCATCAACATATATGATGTAGTGGGCAGTGTACCTTGCAACCACCCTAGCATTTCGAGATGCTTAATTGTAGTGTGTACCTACATATAAACAACATTGAAGTAAGCAAGCCCATCTTTGTCTTTACATCTTCACGTAGGTACTATATGTACTTACAATACTATGGAGGTATCTAATAGTAAGAATTATGCCCTGTTCTTATTTACCAGTAATGTAATGTAATATATCCCTACCACCACTACTACCTTGCACAAATAATACCTACATAGGTAGTATGAGGGACACTGCGCACAATGGCTCAAAGTGTACGTGCAGTACTACTATCAATACCTATAGTCCACAGATCGCCTAGTTGTGTGCCCACCTTGCCTTGCTCGGCGGTCAAAGGGAGGAGAGGAGAGCGATAATTAGCTGCATACTTGTGCACTTAGAGTTGATGGAGGGTACCATTACGCCGATGTTGTGGTCGGCACGAATATATAGTATAGTGGCACATACCGACTATCTGGACTAGGTATCACTCACTGGCCACAGCTATTAGTGCCATCTTTCGCTCCTCGGCTCCCAGCGCCTAGCCTGGTCAGACTGGTCCAGCCTGTCCACAGCTTTGACCCAGCTCATTTCTTACCACCTACCTACTCTGCACCTACCTAAGTACTGAGCGCGCTGAGCAGCACCGTAGCACGGGGCGACAGCGGACTTCCAAGCTGGCTTCGATCCATCATCCGAGGCCATTCACCAAGCCAAGTGTTGTAGTGTACTTATGATGGAGACGGAAGAAGACAGAGCCTATGTCTTCAGGACCTTTACCGTAGAACATGGTAGGTACGTAGGTGTTTCAGTTGAGGCACTACTCGCAATGGCAGGCAAAATACACTATAAGTAGGTACATAGTAGTAGGTAGGCGAGGTGGGCTGGCGAGCGACTGGGCGTGTGTTCCTCCAACTGATCCCACACAACACTAACCTACTGTAGGTACCTACTTAAGTAGGTTCCGCCGTACCTTTCCAGAGCTATCCCAGACAAGTACAGTCTTAGCATTGGCAGGTAGCGTACAGTGCCTGAAGCGCTTGGAATACAGTAGACACGGCCACGCGTGGTTCTGCGTGATGTTCGAAGTGTTGGCATCACGAAAGTGGCTACACCGTGACTGGGTACCTGGTGTACGGGTAGCACGGCCGCTATATGAGGTCTTGATATAGGTAGGCGAGGTAGGCTTGACAGCGGCTTTCACTGTATCCTACGGTGTCATACTGTACCTGTCCAGCTCGACCGTGCATTGGCATACTGTAACACACTGTGGATATATACTCTCCTACCCCCCTGTTAACGGGACCTTGTCAGGTACTCTCCATGCCGAGATGCCAAGGGGCCCGCTGCGCAGGGGAGTTTTTCCGTGAAGTATAATACAAAATCGAGGCCGATGTACTTTTTGCGGAGTCATCGTGAGAGCTAGCGTGCCAAGAATACCTGACTAGGTCCCTTTTTCTAGCTTACAACTATGTACCTCTTTGTTCGCCGTGGATACCTACTTTCACCACCTTACACCTAACTATTCCTGGCCTTGCGCCTCGTGTACACTGCACTAGGTACACTACACACATCCAGCAATTACTACCACCTTAGCCCCTGTCAATCTCCTGACGACCCCTGTTAATTGAGCCATAAAGCGTTCAGGGTATGTGGTGTACACGTACTGAGTGCTGTCCCCCTGGTGTTCGACGGCGCAGGTCTTCCACCTCTCCCCTCTTCTCTCTACTTAAATTACTCTCTGTCTACATACTTAGTGTACATATAATCGCTTACCTTGTAGTGTAAATACGTGTACAAGTATTGCAGAGAGAAGCTTCTTTCATCCGTCTTTCTTGGGTGTTTAGTCTACCTATTTAGGTAATTAGGTAGTCTTTTGTGCAGCCTGTATGTACTACCACGGTATGTAAGTAGCGCAAGGGAGGTAGTGCTGTGGTACATGTACCAACGCCTGAGCTGTGCCGTACCGCACCGCACCGCTTGGCTAGATAGAGTAAGGTACCTACCAACACTACCCACTACCTCTTACTATGTACTTAAGGTACCTACTTAGGTACTTACTTGAGTACTTCGGGCAGGCTAGCCCAAGCCAGGTACTTCCAGCGCAGCGTGCCTGTCGCTTCTCGCTCCTCGAACCTGGCTCGCCTGGGCTGGGCCTTGTCTCCCATTTCCCATTTCCCCTTGCTCGCACATCACCTACCCTTTTCTCGCTCTCTAACCTCCAACCTCCCACCGACTCACCCTTCGTCTTTCTTTTCTTCCTTTCGCCGCCCTCACGAGGTTTCCTTTCCCGACGACAACGCTTCCTTCGGCGAAGACCTTTATCGGTCGAGATAGTCCCTTTCGTTCGTTCGTCGCGTGCCTTTAACGACCGACGTTCGACTCAAGCCTAGAGGAACTCCGGGCCATCCTCAAACGATCCTAATGTCGTTGTAATATTGAAATCGCGAACACGGCCTACGACATATATCCGAAACATTTACAATCCGATCTTGACGATCTGATCGTCTTGCCACTCTTTTGAAAAGAATATTTTGAACTTTTTGCAAGCCTGCTTTATTCAGGGTAAGTTGCATTGTCAACGCCTACCTCTACACGCATCGACTCTTGCCTGCTCAGGCTACTATGTAGCAGACCTAGCTCCATAGTGTCTTGACGACTACGTTCACAGAATTGGTGGACTAACTCTTTTGAACAGCATCCACTCGTTGACAATATCAAGTCAAGTACATTCGTTCTGCGATTCCCTGACAAAGTGGGTAGTTGAATCGCAACGCAGCGTCTTGCTTGCTTGCTGCTGACTATTAGTAGACCAACTACCTAATTCTAAACCCTTGACGACGTGTCAACGAAGGATTGTTGGATACAGACAAGAGACTGGGATTAATCGGGAACAAGTAAAAAATGCGCTCTCAGTCGGTTGTTGCAGTCGCCCTTGTGGCCGCTGCTTCTGTTGCCATCGCCGAGTCTGAAAACCGACCCAGGATTTATTTCCCTCGACACGTGAAGAGAGTCTTCACGAACACGACGATACCTATAACGAGCCCGGCTTCTCAATCGAGCAGCCAGACGCATGTAGCCACGTCGGACTCATCCTCTTCATCTACCAAGAGGAATACGATATCTGAAATTCTTGCTAGCCTGGGTCTAGGTGAAGAAACATCATCAGATGAGGAAAGTGGAACCACAACAGTAGTTGTCCCAACGACACTCTTCGTTTCCCCGTCTGCCACTGCCTCTGGCTCCAGAAACGAGACCGATTCGAGCGCGGCTACGACTACGGCAAAGGATGCAGCAACAACAAAATCGAGCTCGAGTGACAAGGAGGAGTCATCAAGCAAGTCTTCTGCCGTGAAGGATGAAGCTACGACCACGTCCGAACCCCTGTTGTCTCTCCCGACTTTGGATATACCGTTGCCCATCGACACCTCTGATTCCTCCACTGCGCCAATCGTGAATGCAACATCATCCGCTACAGCCACTAGTTCAGACGAGACGAGTGAATCATCGACTTTAGAATCAGCTACCACATCTTCCTCATCGGGCATTTTGTTGTTTCCAACTGGAGCTGTAACTACTACATCCACGCCGACCGTATCTTCGACACCGACCTCATCAAAGGCTTCAGAAACCACTTCGAGCAGTGGTGGCTCTTCGACTGAGACTGCGCCTTCGTCTTCGGCAGTGACAACAACCTCAGCCAAGAGCTCAACAGGAAGTGCCACTGTGAGCTCTACCGAAAGCCCCACGGAGACCTCTACTGGGAGTTCGACGGCGAGTCCTATCTCGACACCTACGTCGACTACTAGCAGCGGTGGTTTGATAGACGATCTGACTAGCATTTTGTTGCCTGGTTCGTCCGCTACGGTGAATGGTACTACCTCTAGTGCCCCAACTGCAGCAGCGAGCGAAACAGAAACAGGAACGCCAACTGTTAGTTCCATCCCCGATGTGACACCGACACCGAGCTCAAGCTCAACAAGTGGACTTATTCCGGATTTAACAAGCATCTTTCCTCCCGGAACGACTGCTAATTCAACAGAGTCTTCTGCTACACCAACATCGGATGCGACACCAGATGTAACACCGACACCAAGCTCGACATCTTCACTCATCACGGTGGTACCTGGAACAACTACGAATGCCACTGAATCCACTGCTATTCCGACACCAACTACTTCGGATGAGACATCAGTGCCGTCATCAACGTTTTTGCCAACATCTGATTCTTCTGTCAGCGCTGGGCCAAGCTCAACATTGATCCCGTCATCGAATTCTACTTCCAGTATTGAACCTACGTCAACCTTCGTGCCAACATCAACTCCAGTACCCACGCCCACTGGTGGAAATAGTACCGATATCCCTACTTCATCGGAAACCGTTAGCGTTCCTGTCACGCTGCCTACTTCTTCTTCTACACCAATTGTTAATGGTACCTCATCGTCAACACCACCTCCGACATCAGCTACCCTTCCGCCATCGACATCTGATGTTCCGTCGAACACGACCACTGAAATTCCCACCTCTACGCCACCCCCCGTTACATCTTCGTCCAGTGTGTCGATCCCAATCAATTCTACTGAATCGACATCGAGCATCTCAATTCCTGTATCGTCAACCTCTGCGCCAGAAACCTCGACAACTGCCATTACAATTCCAATTCCAAGCCCTACCACGACACTGGCACCCACATCAACTACGTCGAAGTCAATTGTTACGAGCATTGTCGCCACGGCCACTATCACTGATTCTCAATCGTGGCTACCAACGTCTCTGATAGTACAGGAATCAACGGGCACAGTCAGTACTGGCGGGCTTCCTACTACTGCCACCGGGCTCCCTACAACGCTTCCCATGGCAATTTCCCCAGCTTCAACCGCTCCTGCTCAGCCGCCGGACACAACAAAGATTCAGATCTCATTCCTCTACGGCGAACATTACATGCATCTGGTAGAGAATCCTAAGGCTGCCGCCCAACTATTCCAGCTACTTCCTGGAGCTCTTGCATATGACACTGGATTAAATCCTGAGGATGTCGTTATGTATAGCATTAGGCCTTATGACACGTTGTCCACACTTGGTTATATTACCTCTCAAGCTCTGCTTTACTACCCCACCGACAAGGTCAATCAGCTTGCTGATGATATTAAGACGCCTAATGCGGCTCTATACAACCAGCAGGACAGCCCTCTTGCTAATGCCCTGACTGGCCAGATCAACCCTGCAATCCCAATTTGGCTCGGATCTGGGCTCGGAGGTAATCCTAGCCCGGGTAGTGGAAACTCTGATGATAACCACAATTCGGGCAGCTCTGATCCTTTTGGCGGTTCTGGTGGAGGTGAGACAACTGCTGCGCAGAAAGGAACGACGGCTGGCATTGCCATTGGAGCTCTCAGTGTTGCAGGTGCATATGGTGCAGCTATGTTTGTTATTGCGCGACGATATAAGCGCAAGAAGCAACGCCACCAACGAAGCAGCTCAATCTCTGCCGCGGATGAAATGCGACAGCCAGGGAGCCCTGCGTTGATGGGCGGGGCACTCCTTAGCCGCGACTTCAGTAGTAGCCCTGGATACGCCCCTGGATACGGTGCTACAAACGGTGGCAACATGCGCAACAGTCAAGGTAGTGGACGAAGTGGTACAAACCAGTCAGCACGAACTGCTAACATCTCCGCCCCTGTCGCCGCTGAAAATTCGCTGGGATGGAACTGAACGTGAACGAATTGCGTATGACTGCACGCCTGAACTGGTTTATTGGTCCTTTTTCTAATCCCTTCTATACTTGGATACCCTTTCAGATGATTCTGTTGAACCTCGCTGCCCCTGATAACAGGGCGCAGGCGAAACGATCATTTTGGAAACGCGATCAGGTTTGAGCCAACCGCTCATCATTTTCTTGTGAACTACAACATGAACATCGTGAAGGATCTCGACCCACCTTTTGCTGGTCGAGCTCTGATGCTCATGTGATTTTTATTTAATCTATTTGCTCAGATTAACTCAAAAAGAGCCCAGTCACGACAGCTCTTCGAACCGTGTCTGGGCAGCGGCTACGAAGGGGTGATGCAAATCGATGGATGAAGAGACTTGTGGGATTTTGCTACAATCTATCACCATGGAACTAAACGTACAATATAAATAACGCCCACGCCGCAAGTGGCGGGTGATAGACTTGAAGACCCTGTTAAGTTTTCTGGAGTAATGCATATATGATGAATAGACAAGAGAAAATCTAAAAATTCAATCTAATGCCTTGCTTGTATTCGCGATATCATGTTCAATAGCTAGGTCGTATATCGTGACACATGACGTATGGGATACTTGGAGTGCTTCGTATAGTCAGTAACAGCCTAATATTGTGTGAGATGAAGGTATCTTGATTGCTTTTTATTTTGGCTACAAAGGTATGAAACCACCGTTTTCCTTGAGCTCAAATTTACTCTGCCTTCCCGCCAAGAATTCCAAGGACAATGAGGTAACAGCTACGATTAAAATCACGCAAACGACGTTGGCTGCATGAGTTGGATTGCGATCTTTTCTATGTATGTATTCCTCTGTGTGTGTTACGGTGGTAGTGTGGTGCTCTGCTGACATAATTTCCTCTCTACCTTGTAGAATCGCCCCCAACCAGCAGCGCTCTGTATATGTCAGCTGTCTTATTCAGGAACTCCTGATCCTTCGTACAAGCCGCCTGCGGTTCCTCATACTGGCTGGTCACCAATGGCATGGCATCAGAGAGATGAGACGGGCTCAGAGATAGTCCCCTCGCAGTCTCATGGCCCCAACTCATCCCCACAGACAAGCGAGAGCGGGCAGGTGACACCGTCGAGTGGATCCAGCCCAAACACCGTTGATCGACGTCACTCACTTCCGTTCACTCCCGCCGACTCCAAGCCGCGTGCTGTTGACAGCGATGATGTTGGTGATGGGCATGGAGGTGAAATGTATGAGTTGCGGGAGTTTGACGGGGCCGGGACTGATGCCGACGAAACCGACGACGACGACGAAGATTCACGAATGATCGGTGGGAGACGTCGGAAACGAAATGCAAGGAGGCAGAGCGAGAGCACCGTTGCTAGCTTCCAACTGTACACGCCCGACGAAGAGAGGGTCATTGTCCGGAAATTTGACCGTCGTCTTGTCGTGTTCTTAGCGTTCTGCTACATGCTGTCTTTCGTCGACCGATCGAGTGCGTCTTATTCTGCTCATGTTACATTGAATTATCAGTTTTCTCGCCCCCTTTTCAGTACAAGTTTCCATATATATATGCACATATTATAAGCTGGCCCCCCATGCTGACGATTTGCAGACATCGGCAACGCTCGCATTGCGGGCTTGGAAGAGGACCTACAGAGCAGGCCGCCCCGCGAAGACTATTTCGAATGGGCGCTGCGAGCCTTCTATATTGCCTACATCGCATTTGAATGGATGTCGCTGTTGTGGCGTCTTGTGCCCGCACATATCTACGTCTCGCTTGTCGTGCTGTCGTGGGGCGTTGTCGCCTCTTTGCAGGCCGTTGTCACGAGCTATCCTTTGCTCATTGCGTTGCGCGTGTTACTGGGAATCGGCGAGGCTGGCTTCACGGGTGTGCCGTTCTACTTATCATTTTTCTTTAAGAGGCACGAGTTAGCATTCAGGACGGCGCTTTTCATCTCTGGTATGTTTTTTCTGCCCATGATTTTCATCCAATATGCCCACATCCAGCTGATGTAGACCTATATAGCTGCTCCGCTTGCATCTGCCTTTGCCGGCTTCCTAGCTTGGCTTATTCTGTGGGTTGGGGAGAACTTGCCAATTGCGTCATGGAGATTGCTATTTCTCCTTGAGGGTTTCCCGTCCATCCTCGTTGCTACCATCGCGTGGAGTGTCATTCCGGACTCGCCCGAGACCGCTGCATACCTCACTCCCCGGGAGCGAAAGATTGCACGTCTGCGCCTTCGGCAGGAGAAGGTGCAACAGCACAGCCATGAGCAATCTTCCTCGTCTTCCAGCCATAAAATAAAGTCGCCGTCGTCTACATCCGGTCTAAAGGCGAAAGACGTTCTAGCCGCCTTCAAAGATCCCAAGGCCTGGCTTACGGCGTTCATGTTCTTCCTTGCAAACATGGCCTACAGCACGCTCCCGGCTTTCTTACCCACCATCCTCCAAGAGATGGGCCACAGCGAGCTGCAGGCCGAGGCTCTCTCCGTTCCGCCGAATATCCTGGCCTTCGTCATGGTTCTACTCGTTGCGAAGATGTCTGACCACATGAAGTCGCGCTCTCCATTCATCATTATGTATGCCCTCCTCTCGGCATCGGGTTATCTCCTCCTCGCCCTCGCGCGGCCCTCGGAAGGCATAATCAGCCCCGGGATTCGCTATTTCGCTGTGTACCCGGCGGCCGTGGGGTTCTTCTGTGTGGTCGTCCTTATTATAGCCTGGTCTGTGAACAATCAACCGGATGAGAGCCAGCGGGGTGGCGGGTTCGCGCTGCTCCAGGTCATTGGGCAATGCGGTCCGCTCCTCGGTGCACAACTCTACCCAGACCGCGACGCACCGTTTTTCGAGACTGGCATGTGGACTTGCGCGGCTGCTATGTTTGGCGTTGCTATGCTCGCATTGGTTTTAAGGGTGTATCTCGCTCGGCTAAATCGCAAGTTAGATGAAGACGAGGGAACCGGCGCTGAGGAGGAGGTTCAGGGCCTGGTTGAGCCTGGTGGGAGAGTGAAGCGTGGGTTTAGATATATGCTCTGATTCTCAAATTGAGGTGATACACAGTGGCGGTTAGCGAGCTGTGTGGACTGGGCGTTAAAACTTTACTTCAAACCTGATATCCTACTTCTATTATTTGTTATTTAATACGATCCTTAACGGTAATTATCTTCTACTTGGTGAGACCAAGACCTTACTATAATGCTGGCCTGTTTTACGTACCTACCTAGTACTTCCCTATGCTTGAAGCGAATTGGATATATTACTGAAGCACCCTGCGTATTTCTTGTCTGAACACATCGCTATATACCAGCTGCCTTTCGGACGTTTTTGGTGATCGAGGTGAGTAGCATTAGGACACGAATTTCCAATCCCTGCATAGTAAACTCGAGGCATTGATTTCAATCCACAGCATATCCTTGACACAGATACTGTAAAGTCAGCCACGTCTGCGTGGGAGTCTGTTCAGCCCCAAACAGCGATGCCAACACCAGGATAAACGGTGCGATTCCTCATCTTGGCTCCCAGTCGTATACGGCTTGAGTTTCTCTCACAGCATAGCACTGACGGGTCGCTAGCTGCAATTGTCGAACAGCATGGTGTAAAACGAGAGTTTGAACCGCATATGCGTGACAGGCAACAAAGTTCTGTACACTGTCTTTGTTATTCGACATTACCTAGCGAGCCTTTTACTTATTCACTGTCTTTTCCGAGGAATATCCTTGCGTAGTCTGGCTCGACGCATCATGCTAGATATTGTACTCGTGGTAGACATAGTATCTAATGATACCGACGCTCATATTATCCCAGAAACGGTGGCTCTATGTAGTTGAGTCTTGTACATTCGCTGTCACTGGCTAGATGCTGCTGCTTACGCTTCTGAGATGAAAATTCCCTGAGATTGTGCGGCTTCAGCTGTGGCTTATCCGGTAGTGGGGATACTACATCAACCTAAGACAATGTTGATATGATGAAGACGACACGTGTAGCATTGGAGTATGGGATTGTCTCATATGCCGCTTCATTTCTTTTTCGGTTTCTCTCGCTGCACTGCATGCTGCGGTGAGTTGACCGACGTGTGTATGGGTGTGCTGCAAGGGCCGGCGCTGCCGGACTCTAGCTCTCTCGTATAAATTGTCCGGAGACACACAGGCTTCCAGGTCACTGTTGTCTTCAATCAATGAATAATAAGAAAAATACTCTTCTGTTGATAACTGTGTAAACTTTAAGGCGATCGTGTTAGAAGGTAGTTTTGACTCCTTTATCCAGGCCACAGACTTGATACGAACCAAGCGAGAACGGCTTATGATAAAGATATACGAGTATAGTCCTGCTACACATAGCCGATATGCAAGCACATACATGGTGCAACACATCGTTGAATACATCTCTACACCACAATCTAGCCAAATACAACTTCGCTCGTATGGCTATTGCTATCAATACGCTCGGCAACAAACCTCCTGACGCCACGTGGGGGTTATTTCGTAGCATCGTGTCCTGTTAATCACGGATACCATACCCTTCACTAGATGCCTCCTACATCCTTCACAGACGGCGAGTTACACGAGAGGTAGCCTACGGGTTGCTCAGCTCTTATGCAGCACCGGCGTTTCACTTCGGGATATTTCACGAATTGCTTCCACACCCCTTGTCGATAGCGGAACGTGATAGCTTGCGTGTTCCGCCCTCCGCCCCCCAATAACCATCCGACAGTCTATGGTGGTGTGCTCACGGTGATAGTGTAAGTACGTACACGGCTTCCGGGAAGAGGTATACACCCGACCGCTCACCAGAGACTTAATATATGGGAGACCGAGTACTGGGAGTCATGTAATATATAACTTAAAGCACCCTGTCGATGTGGCATACGATCCCCTCCAGCGTGTGTTTCGACGCCAATGAGAGACAGCGCTTGCACTGCTCCTCGGTGTCGCCACCCTGCGAGCGAGATCTTGCCAAGTATAGTCGTTACTGAGGGCGGCGTATAGTCAATTGCGTATACCGCGCTGCTACAGACATAATCACTAACTTCCTTTGACTCGGGCTGCAGAACCGTAAAGCAGGTGAGCCGGCAACACCAGTAAGGACATGTTATTGTTGGCGCGAGGGCCGACGTTTTTCGTAGTCCGCGAGCCCCGACGTTTCTAGGTTTTCCTAGGAGTGGCATTCCCTGACGCAGGTTAGACATGTAACCTTGTGGTCCTCGACAAAGAGCGAATTTTCCTCGCAAATTCAACAAGGGGGGAATAGGTTTGCTGCTAATGCAATGCAGATCTGATGATGGGAGGAAATAAATCTAAAAATTGAAGTTCGAAGCAGGATTTTGCTGCATAAGGCACGTGTGAAATACTTGGGACTCTTGCAAAGCTCGTTATATTCTCTGAGTCGTCCTTTCGCTCCGTTTTGTCCCAGTAATAGTTATTTCTTTCCTCGGGCTTCCACTCCGAGTCGAGCACGCATAGTCCATCTTTCCCTTCTTCTGTTGTACTTACTTAATTAAGCTGCCGAGTGTAGTTCCTATGGCCAAAAAGATCTCTTAGCTGTCACTAGACCTCTTCTCTTCCTACATCAGCCTTATCACTGTGTTCACTCATTACAGAGGAGAGACAGAAGAATTAATACCGGCATTACTTCTAGACATCACCACAGCGGACGATAAAGAAGTAGCTCTGGCCTCTTATAGGACCTATTAGGCGGGTAAGAGGCGAAGCAAATGAATGAGGATTTCATTGAAGAGCGCTCCTTAGTCAAATCTCGAGAGGTAGTGGGAAGGAAGGAAGGAAGTTTAGCAACACGAAGTGACAAGGTGTCCTTCAAGAATTGAGCAAGCAAGAGATTCTAATGGATAGAAGAGGAGGGAACTTTGTGCTCATGAGGAGAGACTCCACGACCACAGGAAACTGGACGGCGAATCCAAATCCAAACCCGGCCGAACCTGCAACAAATCCCGTACGTGTATGCCCTTTTCCATTCTCGCTCCGCGCATCTTCTCGCTCATAGTCTCTGAGATATTTCCACATTGTGCACACCTCTGTGCCCAAGAGGTGGCAAGACGGGCTTAAGATTCACACCGTCAAGGAGGTATAACACTAGATCAACCAGGCCCTCCAAGCCTGGTACAGACACAATATTATCTCGCCTTTTTGCGGCGACAGCTCGCTTTTCAACCAGGATTATTATGCACACCTCAGCTGATAAAATCGAACAGACCATCTCGATCCAGCATGGCCCTCCATACGGGTCGCCGATGGCCGTCGTAGGCGGGGTGCCGACACTGAGGACCGATATACCCATCGCAGCGGTCCTTCTCGCGCTCTTCGTGACCTCCGCAGCAGCACACATGACAGTCCTCCAGCTGAACAAGCGGGCTGGGCTGAAGTTCCTCTTCTCAGGCATGCTGTTTGTGATGAGCGTGCTGCGCACAGTAGCACTATCCATGCGGATCGTGTGGGCGACGCACCCGCACACGGCCAACATTGCCGTCGCCTCGGGCATTCTGACGCAGACTGGCAGCGTGCTTATTTTCATTATCAACCTGATCCTCTCGCAGCGCATCGTGCGTGCCTACCACCCTAAGTTTGGCTGGCACCCCATCACCAGCATTGCCTTCTACTTCCTGATCGGCTGCGTCGTCGGGTCACTAGTCATGGTGATCGTCGTGACGGTGCAGAGCGTGCTGACGCTGGACTCGGGGTTGCGCCAGTCCGACCGCATCGTACAGCTGTTTGCAGGCACGTACATGGCCGTGCTGGCCTTCCTACCGCTCCCCATTGTCGTCATCGCAGTTCTGTACCCACACAAATCGCACGTAGAGAAGTTCGGTGCCGGCCGCTGGCGGACCAAGGTGTGTCTCCTTTTGTTCGCGGCAGCCGTGGCGACGCTCGGCGCCAGTTTCAGGATCGCTACGGCCTACGCCGCGCGGCCAGTTAACCATCCTGCGTGGTATCATAGCCGCGTATGTTACTACTGCTTTAACTTCGTCACGGACCTGATTGTGTCCGTGGTATACCTGTTCTCGCGCTTCGACAGGCGGTTCATTGTGCCGAACGGGGCCAAGGGACCGGGAGACTACAGCAAGGGATTGCGGGACCGACCTCGCTCAGCTCACTCAAATGCCGACGAGGAAGGTAACGTGACGGATCCCGAGAAGCTCTCCAGCGCCAGAGATAGCAGTAATGAAACCGGCAGTGAGAAAACGCACCTCCCTATTGGTGATGGTGATGACGAGAAGCGCGTGGACAAAGGAAAGGGCAAAGAAGTCAATGTCGAAGGGGATGAGAAACACCGTGTCTCTGAATCTTCTGGGTCTACTCCAGAAGAAGTAACCCCCAAATTTACCGACAGCCAAACCCAGACGTATAGTCCACACAGACCCTGGAACGCCGTGTCCTGGCCTTTCCGGGCGTCGTGGACGACGCCGCGCCTCTTCGGACCAGTACCAACGCCAGCGCCAGCACCAGTATCAGAGCCAGAGCCAGAGGCCTCATCTGCAAAGCGGTCTAACGCAGGCGGCAGCATAAAGACCGATTTATCGACCACGGAGACCGCCAAAGGACTCTCGCACACAGGTAGCAGTAGAAGCATCGGTGCAGAGACAAGCAGCACATACATCCAGGAGCCCGAGCTCGAGCCCGAGCCCGAGCCTATCCGATTCCGAACCTTCGTGCAACGCCATCATCATCACCACCCTCAGCATCGTCAGAATCAGATCCATCATCATCATCAGCAGCAGCAGCATCAACATTATAATGAAAGACCACCGCATCACAGCAATAACAACCCATATCTACAGAACAACCAGTCGTATGTTTTCGGGCAGGCCCTAACATCCGACGCTGAGATCCACAGATCTCCAGACGCCGACGTCTGGCCCTCCATGAGTGAGACACATTACCTCTACCCCCTGCATACCGTGACATACACCACCACACCCGGAGGCCCAGGCCCCCATCGCAGCAACAGCGCCGCTGCATCCATTTCCTATGCTGGCAGCAGTCGGACGCCCGACCACGCCAGCCACCCTATCGGCAGGAGTCGGAGCTGTTATGTAGACCGAGAGAGGAGAATGGAGGGTGAGGAAGACGGTGGCTGGATATAAAGCCCTGAAAGCTCACCGCGCTGCCTTTTTTATTGTTCAACTTATGCTTGTATGTATGTTTCTAGATTCGCTCCCTCTCGACAGCGACTAATCAGTAAATCTCTCCTGTTTCCAGTGTTTTGGCTCTTTTGGATTGATGTTAAGTATATCTTTCCGCATTATTAACACGCATAGCCATGCGCTTTTTGTTGATGAGGCAGAATACAAAGGGGATTTGGTGCAAATAATCAGGGTCAGATAACAAACTTGCTGTACATACCATGATAGTAACGCAATCGCTTTTGTAGACCAAGCGATAGATTGCAGCCTTTCCCATTTCATATAATTATGCGACGTTGGTTATTTCCGGTGGTACATCCGAAATCACTCTCTAGAAAGGGACGAATAATAATCATGAAGGAAAGTTGAAGTGTCAGGATAATAGTTCTATCATGCAAATTAATTGTATTTTCTTACTGAAAGGTCCAATTCTATGAACAGATAGACTGGTGATTCTCACGACCAGACGGGTACGAAAAGGGTTCTGCTTCATCTTAACATCAAAGCTTGTCTATTGGTGATGAAATCTAGGCGCCCTGTACTTCTTGAGCCTGTTTTCTCTTTATACTTTAAGAGCGAAACTGGGAGTCCCATTTGTAATGGCGCGATTGTTCAGGGTATCTTTATGGCCCAAGATCCTGCCTGAGCTGCCGGAATGAGGCGTCATCCTGTGGCTTGAGTAGTCGCATATGAGATTTAGTGCCGGGGAGTCACGCCAATAGTTGAGAATTCTAAGCCCGGATATATCCGTTGAAACTTGGGGCCACACGTCCCTGAAATGGGGCGACGAATTGCGCCTAAAGCTTAGAGGAAATAATCCGGTGTGCCTATAGCGAATTAGCTTGACGTTGATGGTGACAGCAAGGAAGAAAAGGAGGGAAACTTACGTCGAGAGACCATAGGTTCACCGGCTCGTGGACAAGGGTCAAATTGTAAGCTGTAGGCGACGTATCAGTACACGAATAAAGAATGAATCCGGAGCCAGTGTAGGCCAAGTCTCAAATTGGTCATCTTACAAGGTGTATTTTAGATGCTCGTCGATCTCCATGATTGCAGCTTGGTTACCACACCGGTAACAGTAATTAGGAGCTGCTTGATGTCAGCTCTTCCTCTCGGACCAAGGTTGAAGTGGAAAGAAAACTAACCAGAGAAGATAGTCACCACGTTCCTATCCTGCGACCAATTGTATCCCTCCATAACTAACTGATGAGCCCTCGCAATTAATGTCAACCCATTGTTATGGTTGAAGGCTTCTGAGATATCTTGGCCAAAGGTGTAACCAGCACCTCGTGGGGAAATACCCCAGCCGCAGCGATCGTCAGGGTCGGACCATAACAGGTCGCACATGGGACCTTCATGTGGGACTTCTTGAATTCTGTCGAGCGCTCGAATGTTATCGAGGGTGTCAATGCTCGGAGAAAGACCTCCGTGGAGGCAGAAAATCTGGTTGTCAATCAGTGCAGTAAGGGGCAGAAAGTCGAATAGGTCGGTAAAAAACTTCCAGACATTGGCGTTGCCATACTTCCGTAGGCACTCATCGTAGAAACCATAGACCTGGGTGATCTGTCTAGACTCGTGGTTGCCGCGCAATATCGTGATGCGCTGCGGATATCGAATCTTGAGGGCAACAAGGAGGGTAACTGTCTCAACGGAGTAGTACCCCCGGTCAACGTAATCACCTATATAATGTTGCCAGTCAGCACCGGAATTGGGGGGGGGGGGGGGGGGGTTTGTTTGCTTGCTTCATGCGCCGGCGGTGTGTTAGGAATTGGTATGATAATGACCACGAAGAGAAAAAAAATAAGAAAAAAAAAGTCGAACCCAATAAAAGGTAA